GACTGCAAAAAGAACAATAGTTCTGTCCTGGAGAAAGTGAAATAAGAGTGTACTTCAAAGGCAAGGATGGTGGAACTCCATCTCACATTCTTTGGTCATACTTGGGAGGGACCAGTTCTTGGAGAAGGGCACTGTGCTTGGAAATGCGGAAGATCCACAAGAAGATGGGCTGACATGGAGAAAGTAGCAATGGACTCAAGTGTACTGGAGATGATAAGGACAGACCAAAGTTCAGATCTGCTGTTCATAGGGTCAACTCAACATGGCACAAAGCAACAACAATGATACTGGGACAAGATCTTCTGAGTAGGAGTCTGTTCACTGGAGCTCTGCAATGACTTTCTAACATAAACAAGACTCACAATGAGATGTCTGTTCTTGCCAGGATCAGTGACTTTAAAGGAGACCAAGAACAAAACCCAACACCTAAACGGTAAGAACTTTTTTCCTAATCTATGGTTTTCTTGTTCAATCTAATTCAACAGCACTTTTTAAGCTCTCCTTCACAGTCCTTCTAAAACATTATCTTTCAAGAGTGAAAATTCTGTCTGCATTCATAATTTAGGCATTAGTCAAACTACTTATATAAGTATATGAGAAGATTTTTAAACAAACACAACTAGTTTTTGTTAAGTATACAGTAAACAAACAAAAAAGCCCCACCCCACAACAAAACTGTACGACCCAGCTACTCCACTGCTTGGAATATACCCTGTGAAAATAAGAACTGAGGCACAAACAGAACCTTGTATACCAAGATCCATAGCAGTGTTATATACCATCATAAGAACATGGAAACAGCTCAACTGTCCAACCACAATCGAATGAGTAGAGACATTATGGTACATTCACATGATGGAATACTATGCAGCACGAAGGAGCATGATTTTATAAATCACGACCTAACTTCGGAGGGACTGGAGAGCATTATGCTTCGGTGAACTAATTTGGTTTCATAAGGACAAATATTATACAGGACCATTATTGTAGAGCATGTATGAGGATGTAAGGGGGGAGAGGGCAGACAGAAGGGTGAGGATGGGGAGAACTTAATCATAGGGTCACACAATCTGATGGGTGGAGAGAGAGGTGGGTAAAAGAAAGGGAAAAGATCCAGTGTGAAAACAATGTATACAAACTTTGAAAGTAAACCAGTATTTAAAAAAAAAAAGAGAGAACAAAATCAAAACACTTCTATTGCGTTCATTCTGACTCAAAGTCACCCATCATCGGGTCTCCCAGGCTGTAAATCTGAAAGGGAACAGACTGCCTCATATTTCTGCCACAGAGTGACTGGTGGATTCAACTGGTCAACGTTTTGGGTTGACAATTCAGTATTTAAGGCTGTGCCATCAGCGAATGTAATACAAGTTCTACATGATAATGACAACAGATAGATGGTTTTATACAAAGAGAGCATCCACTTCCGAAACTGCTTGCCTCTGGAAACCTTATGAATTGAGAGAAACAATGAAAGTTATAGAAGTGTTCAGGTCTTTCATTCATAGGCTCTCTAGGAATCGTCCATGAATTGACAGCACTTAACAATACAAGGAGAGAATGAGTCCATTAACTTGAAAGACAAATAATTCAAACAAATAGCAGTGTCTTAAGCTGATATCAATGAAAGCCAATAGAATAATTAAAATATTTGTGTTTAGTATTGCATAAATTTGGCCTCATATATCCAAAAATACTTTCATTAAGTAGGTCACTATTGCACTTTATATTCTAAATGTTTAAGTCTTTCATTTTATTAATTTTTTAAAATTTTATTATTTTGTGTGTGTGTACTGTCAAATTGGATCTGACTGGTACAGGAGGAAACTGTCCCTCCTTCTCTAGCAGAGCATCTGGTGGATTCAAACTGTGCACCTCTGGGATTGCAGTGCAGCTTCTTGTCACTAGGCCACCAGAACTCAACTGAATGTTTAATTCTTAATGTTACTATTAATGTAAATCTTTCTAGAATTTTTCTCTTTGTATTTGAAATATTTCACAGCAAAATTACTCTCTCCTTTCCTCTATTATTTTTTTTCCAAAAAATCTAGATCTGTAATATATAAAATAAATGCAGAGTTATTCTGGTATGAAGTCTAACACGTCTTCTATTGCCAGTGTAATCTCTGAACCACTGAAACTTAACATTAAAAAAAATATTATCTAATGATGTTAGAGAAGAGTTCCAATTACTTTCAATGGGAAAAGAATATTCTAACAAATGGTGTTGAGATAATTGCATTTCTACAAGCAAAAGAATGAAGTTTGCTCCCCTACCTTTCACAACATATAACAATTAACTGAAAAATGTATCAATGACCTAAAAGTAGGATCTAAAATTATAAAACTCTTAGGTGTCATCCTTATCTGTTTTTGTTTTGTCATTTCAGTAACTTCTAGAAACCTGTGGTCTGAAAATATTTAAACTCCACTCTGCATAACATGAGAATCTCACCCCATCCCTATCTACCCAGGTGCCAATTTTCTCCTCTCTCAATGAGCCTGAGAAACAGTTAAGTCAGCAACCAAAAGGTTAATACTGCCAACCCAGGACACCCTGTAAAACATTTGTTGTTATGTACTGCAGAGTCGCTTGCGACTCACAGTGACCCTATGTACAACAGCCCTAAACTCTGCTCTGTCCTGTGCCAATCACACTGTCTCTGACACTCCCATCCCGATTACCCCAGTCACCGAATCAATCCACCTCATAGA